ATAACACTGCGAGCTTGACGATCGTGCGGAGGACATGTCGCGCGTCGTTCGCGGTGGCGTCCCGTTCTGAACGGGCCTCGCGTCTGGTTTAAATCACCTCTAGGCTGTGAGATGCGAGCTAAGCAGCAGAAGATACTTGCTCGAGACCTCAATCACATGTGTCAAATCAAGCGGAATAAACCTATACTATACAAATATTATACAATTACTTTTAAAACGGGGCGGGAAACGCGAAGCGAGGAAGAACAAGAGAGAAAGGAAACGTGAAGAACGATCGAGGGGGGATGAACGAAAACCCTCTCCCGTGGATGGAACGACACCACGCAGTACTTGCTTTCGTTTTTTTTCTTTCTCTTTCCTTTCTTTTGGCCTCCTCGAGTCACCTTTTAGCGTTGTTTCTTTTTTCCTCAAGTAAACCACGACGGGCAGAACGATTTCTTCCTGACGAACAAGACGTGCGTTGAACGAACGGAACGAAAAGACAATGGAGACGACGAGGAAAGGACAGCAGGGAAAGTAAACGAACGAACGATCCGTAGAAGACGAATCCGTCGCGCGGAAACGGAAGGATCGAGTTGAAACGCGCGCACGCAGGAACGAACGAGTGGAACGGGAGCCGGGAACCGGGGTCGGGGGATTGCGTCGCGAGACGAATATATGTATATATAGATATGCACATATACGGATTCTACATATATATGTGTATATATGTATATGTATATAGAAGAGATACAAGATATATTTGTAGATACGATGACACTTTAGCCAATCTAATTTAGCGTATGTAATAGAGTCAATACTGTGAAATACCTATAAAGAAATGGAAAAAAAAAATATGAAAACTTTACCCTATACCCTTTTAGATTCTAGACGATGATGAAATACTTGTAATTAACTTATGGAGAGACGAAGTATAATGAATGAAGAAACTATACCGCGGTCAGATCGATTAAATAAATAAACGACATACAACCTATACGCCGATTATTGCTGTTGTTCCCTGTGTTCACAGTTGTTTCCCCTATCGTTTTTAACTACTGCGTATAAAGGAAACATTCAACGCTGTTCCGAATTCTGAACGGGGAAGGCAAAAGTTCCTGCTGTATCTGCTTCGTGCCCCCTTGGGAAACCCCTCGAACCCCCACGAGAGACCCCTTGGAACCCCTCGAGAGATCCCTTGGAACTCCTCAAGAAACCCCTCATATTCCTTGACAAGGCATGGCGCGGCAAGGGGGTTCGAGGGATTTCTCGAGATGATCCGAGGAGTTCCAAGGGGTTTCTCGTGTAGATCGAGGGGTCTCTCATGAGGGTCCGAGGGGTTTCTCGATACAATACGAAGGGGGAACGACAAGAATATAAACTCTAAGGTTTTGCTTCTCGCTTCCAAAATTCGAAAGAGAGTGAAATATTTTCTTGATATCATCAATCTAAATATTCTAAATTGTTGATTGTCAAATATTTACCAAATATTTCATTAATAACACACAATATTCGTGTCTACTTTATTAAAAAGCTGTTAAGATAATTTGAAAAGAAATAATTTTTAAAAAACTCTTCCTTATCCCGAATTGATGGCGCCATCTATTAAAAGGTTGCTCAAACTTCTAGCCAAACAATACCTAATGATATCTGCTAGATGGCGCCACCAATTAAAACCTCTATTGTTCTTGCTTGCATATATCTATCCTTGTGTTTCTTTATCTTGTGTCGTTGGCGCCATCTATTGTAAAAACGCTCAAACTTCTAGCTACATAATACCACATTGTCTCTGTTAGATGGCGCAACTTAATGATTTTTGTCACGTGTTTTTTATTCAATCTATATGTTTACAATGTTCACTAAATTATAATGTTGAAATATTTTTATGGACCAACTTCTATGATGGCTTGTGTCTAACTAACAATTTACAAACAGAATATCACGGATATTAACAAAAGAAGTTTAAAATGTATATTTATACAGTTTCTAATAACAGAAATTGACTTGACTCTATAATATACGTTAGCGACATAGTGACTACAACTGCTCTGTTCTCACTTATATATATATATATATACCTATGTACTCGCTTCTTATGTTAGTACCGTCGAGTTTCATCGATAAATAGGCAAGGTATACTTAAAAATAAGAAACACAAGCCTGTAGGAATCCAAACTTCGATTGTACGCAACATATTTGTTTCTAATTCCGCAAATTCAAATGCTTCCTTTTATGGTGTGAAAATTCACTACAAACTTTGTAGTTCTATATTTTTGTTTCATTTTCGACTGTTTATACGATGTTACATTTTGTATATTACAGGAATACATTATCAGGAAATGATACGCTGCGAATGATAACATGACGTGATTTAAATGTACCTAGTGAAGCAGATTAGTTACAATGAATTATTAAAATTTTTTAATCATTTCAACAAATAAGATACAATTTACTACTAATACAATTCAATTCACCTTTCATATCTAAATAATACGGTGGTGTTGATAAATGCATCTTGTTAAAAGTCCATTGTCCATTTGTAAGTTGTAAAAAAAGAAATGAAGAAATAACCAGTGACATTATTTGGTAACTAATCACTAGATTTGTTCAAACTTTGTGCTCCCAAACAAGAAATATTTGAAAATTATATGCCTTAGATCGGTGAGAGATTACAATGCACATTGGAATTGTTACACTAATAAATGTAAATGGTGAACAGAACTGCTGACTCGTGGTGATTCAAATATGATATTTAACATGCATTTTATCGTTGCACTGGTGGAGCCATTGGAAGACTCGAAGGGCTAATGTGTGACATTGCTGTATTAGGTCCTAAGAGGACTTGTTTCTGTTGGGCACGTTGTACTTCTTCCATTTGCGCGCGTTCTATTTCGAATAATACAGGTGCGAATAAAATAGCCGACGAACTGAAGAATAACCATGCGGCGGAACACGAAAATGCGTACAAGCCTGCAAGAAAAAAAAAGAATTTTTACCCTTCAGACGATCAAACAATTTTTTTTCGTTAACTCGAAATGAAATTTACACTAACCTTTCATACAGCTATAGAAACAAGTGCCGACATTATAGCTGAAATTACGTACTTCGTCTGGGAACATTTCTGTGAGACCCAATAACCTCTCCGCGAGACTTTCATCCTGCATAAAAAATGGATCGTAAGAAAATCACCTATAAACGCATCACTCGCAATATAACGACAGAAATTATAATAGAAATTACAGTTGTATAGTAAAATTGAATTTTAATCATTACAACTGCACAAGGAAAAAGAAGTTTACCGACTTGGAAACGAAACTTGGTTAAAATAACATCGGTGTCATTTAATTGAATTCGACCAATTTCAGAATGAAAGTGAACGTTATAATTGATTCGTATTCCAGTCGATGAAAGTACGATATACCTCTTCGTCATCCTCGTCATCGGGAAGAAGCGATTTCACCTCCGGGGAACGTGCGTCGCCGCTACTCATGTCGCAACTACCTATGCCGCTATCCAGTTGTTCCAAATCTTCAAGTGAAGCCATATATAAAAACAATCGTCGACAGAGACAAACGAACGGCTGAACGTGTATTTGAACGATGTCCGATTAGTTCGTTCTTTCGAATGAAATACTCGGGGAGATATGTACACAAAGTTGTTCACCGTCGTCGATTGCTCTGCACGTTATGATGATAATGCGCGACGATTCACACCGGTGCAGAGAGCGGATAAAATACGGGCCGCGACTCGAAACTTAGATGTGCATGTCGCCTTATTTCCTAAATCTTGTCCACGCTCGACACCGTGGAAGCCTCAGCCCTACTGAACTATTAGATACTATATAAGTTACTTTTCTATTTGTAACCGGAGAAAGTATCCGATAAATGTCCCTAGATAATAGCCCAAAACGAACTGTTCGCATGTGCACGTTGCATTGTAAACAGGTCGGGATCTAATCTTGAAAGGTACTGCTGCGATCATCGATAGTTGAAGGTTATGTGGAGAAGTCGATGATTATACGAATTTCTTATCGATATTGTGAAACTATATTGTCATCGATCCTTCGCTTTATATGGGTATCGACGATAACTACTTTGCATCGAGATAGAATATTTTCCTGAATGAATCGACGAATCTCGAAAATGGTATCGTTTCCGTATTTATGAATCGTGTGTATTAATATGCCGTGAATGGATACGGTTGTCGTGAACGACGATAGAGGAATAAATTAATATTACCAGCGCAAACGAAATGGCTAACACCGGTGTATTGCCGTTTGTACGCGGTGTCGATTTCAGTAGCAATGATTTTGGCGTAAGTGTTACATTTTTCCAGGATATATTTGATTATGGTCCACAAGTTATTCCAGATTTATTATTCGTTTACAGGATGGCAAATTTCCGGAGTCCGTTCGTCTTATGACTGGGATACAATGGCTGAAATTAGACAAAACCAATTTGACAGAAATCCCAGAAGAAATGGGGAAACTGTTGAAATTGGTAAAGTTGATTATATTATTGTCCATCCTTTTCTTTTATGGGAATACGAGTTTACAGAGTGAATGATAAAACTTGGAACTCTTTTGTTTATGAAATAGGAACATCTGTCACTGGTTAAGAATAAATTGGAACGATTGTACGGAGAACTCACGGAACTTAGCTGTCTAAGAACATTGAATATTAGGCGTAACAACATTAAATCAAGTGGGATACCAGCTGAACTGTTTCATCTAGAGGAACTGACCACTTTAGATTTGAGTCACAATAATTTAAAGGAAGTACCAGAAGGCCTTGAACGAACTCGTTCTTTATTAAATTTGAATTTAAGTTATAACCAGTAAGAGCATATCGTATCTTTGTTCTTATATAAAAATGAGATTGGTATAATTCTTAGGATTAATGCCTGATATTTGTTTTTCAGTATAGAGATGATTCCCAATACATTATTTATTCATTTAACCGATTTACTTTTCCTGGATCTCAGTAATAATAGATTAGAGACACTGCCACCGCAAACTCGCCGTTTAGCTAATTTACAAACTTTGAATTTAAACCACAATCCTTTGGGACACTTCCAATTGAGGTACACAGAGAACAATTCAACTTAGATAAGTTGAACATAGCCAATGATCTCTTTTTAAGCTGTTAACTCTGATTCATTTCTTTTCTTTTCCGAGTTAGGCAGTTGCCATCATTGATGAATTTAACGACCCTACAGATGCGCGACACGCAACGAACATTGAACAATATCCCTTCAAGTTTGGAAACCTTGACAAATTTACAAGAGCTTGATTTATCGCAGAACAATTTGCCCCGAGTACCGGACGCTCTTTATTCTCTACAAAATTTGCGTCGTTTAAATTTGAGTGACAATCAAATAACGGAATTATCAACAGCTATAGGTAAATTCGGTTAGTGTACTCTCTTGAGTCCATTCTATTCTGATTTCTCGTTGTTCACAGAACTTTGGACTAAACTGGAAACGTTGAATATATGCCGCAACAGACTGACCGCGATACCTGCTTCTCTTTGTAAAATTGTAACACTCAGAAGATTGTATTTAAACGATAATCAATTAGATTTCGAAGGCATTCCTTCGGGAATTGGCAAGTTATCATCGCTGCAAGTCTTCTCTGCGGCTAACAATCGTTTGGAAATGATACCAGAAGGCTTGTGCAGGTATTTCATGAATTCTCCTTTCATCGCTGCCGAGGTGTACGAACATACAAATACACGCTTAATTTCTGTAGGTGTGGTTCATTGAAGAAATTAATATTGACGTCCAACCGATTGATCACTGTACCGGACGCCATTCATCTGCTTACCGATTTAGAACAATTAGACTTGAGGGATAATCCCAATTTGGTAATGCCGCCGAAACCGACCGAGGTACAGAAAGGGTCAGGAATTGAATTTTATAATATTGATTTTTCGTTGCAACATCAATTACGACTTGCTGGTGCAAACGTACCAGCACCGACTCAAATGGCCGGTAAGTCTTGAAATATCGTCGATCACTGTTTCGCGAACAGTTCACATTTCACACGTATCCCGAGTATTCTTTCCGCGTACATTGTATCGCGTTTTGCTTTTCGAAAATCGTACATGTTGACGCGTGTACCAGGTAGTAAAGACCCGATAGCTCGTAAAATGAGGCTCCGAAGAAGACGAGACCAAGAGGAGGCTGATCAGGATCAAGCCAAGATATTGAAGGTATTTTTCGTAACGGTGAACAGCTTTGAAAAATATACTTTCCTCTCTTTAAAAATATGCTTTCCTTTTCCAGGGCATGAAAGATATAGCAAAGGAGAAGAACAAGGACAAAGAGTGCGAAGAGTCCAAAGCAGAATCGTTAAAGTAAGCTCGTCGCGTTGTAAGCTATTGCGAGCCGCGTGCAACGATCAATTAACCTTTGTTTCATTTGGCTTTCAGACCAAAACGATGGGACGAGACCCTCGAGAAGCCGCCTTTAGATTATTCAGAATTCTTTGATGAGGACGCGGGTCAAGTACCTGGTCTTTCGGTGTGGGAGATAGAGAACTTCTTGCCAAATGAGATAGAAGAGGTAGCGCATGGAAAGTTTTACGAAGGCGATTGTTACATCGTATTGAAGACTGAAGTCGATGACACGGGATCGTTGATTTGGGCGATCTACTTCTGGATAGGGGAGAAAGCTACTGTAAGCGAATGGCTTCAATGACGATCATAGATAATACTTGTGTTTGTGATGAACGCGTATGGTTAATAATTACAGCTTGTACCTTATTGTTGCAGTTAGATAAAAGAGCTTGCGCGGCTATTCATGCTGTAAATTTAAGGAATTATCTGGGCGCGCAGTGCCGCACCATTAGAGAAGAACAAGGGGAGGAATCGGATGAATTTTTAATGCTGTTCGAGTCTGGTATAACTTACATCGAAGGAGGCCGCACCTCGTCCGGCTTTTACACGGTCGAGGACACGGTTTGTATAATATTTCGATGCATGCTTCATCTTATATATGTTTTTCTCTTTGGACAATACACTAATGTTATCTCGTCGTTTGCATACGGCAGCCGTTTGTGACAAGGCTATACCGAGTACACGCGGCGGGTGCTTCTATTCACTTGGAACCTGTACCGGTTCAGTACGATTCCCTGGATCCAGGGTTCGTGTTCGTTCTGGACACAGGCAACAAAGTTTTCATGTGGTACGGTAAGAACGCGAAGAGCACGTTGAAGTCGAAGGCGAGACTGATGGCGGAGAAGATCAATAAAAATGAAAGAAAGAACAAAGCCGAGATTCTAACGGAAATCATGAGTTCGGAGTCCGACGATTTCCTAACGTGTTTGAACGTGAAGGATACGTCTCAACTTTTACCGATCGTGGTAAGTTACGTACCGTAAACCTTAGAATCTTTAACACGTCGAATGCCATGGGGGTCACCGGTGAAAACATTTCTATATTATAAATAATACTGCCTACTGCGATGACATTCAGCCAGATATGTGCAATAATAACAATGCGGTTCAATCAAACCATTTAATATTTTTGCATTTTGTGTATTTTGCTCTATGAAATCGTGTGGCGTTCAACGTGTTAATATCGGAGTACCATTTTAACCTGTAACTTTTATTTTAGGAGCACGTGGATCCAGACTTTGTGGCCCTTGCGCCTCGTTTGTATCAAGTCCAACTGGGCATGGGTTATTTAGAATTGCCTCAGGTTGAAGTGCCTCATGGGAAGTTATCGAATACGCTCCTGAATAACCGCAACGTTTATATATTGGACTGCCATTTGGACGTTTATGTTTGGTAAATTGAAGCGCACCTTTAGCTCGTATCATTGAAAATGTTGACGTACGTCGTACATGTTTGTTGTGTTGTTGCAAACATCCAGGTTCGGTAAAAAATCAACGAGACTGGTACGAGCAGCAGCAGTTAAATTATCTCAAGAATTGTTCAACATGATAGAGCGACCGGAGTATGCCACGGTCACCAGACTGCAAGAGGGAACCGAGTCTCAGGTAGGAATGTATGTATGACACGATAAACCGCTTGACAAAATTGTTATTCATTTTCTCTTTTCCATCGTGAACTTTATGTAGATTTTCAAATCCAAATTTACGGGCTGGGATGAAGTGATAGCTGTCGATTTCACCAGAACTGCTGAATCAGTCGCTAAGACTGGCGCCGACCTTACGAAATGGGCCAAACAACAGGAAACAAAGGTACGTGGGAAAAGTGGACAAGCGATTGAAGGTATTCGTAAGGTAAATTGTTGATGGAAACGATTCTGTTGGAAAAGGCGGACCTGGCTGCGCTTTTCATGCCTAGACAACCGCCGATGTCTTACGCCGAAGCTCAACAGCTTATGTCGGAATGGAACGACGATTTGGAACGCATGGAACGATTTGTATTGGAGGGAAAGAAATTCGTACGCCTGCCCGAAGAAGAGTTTGGACACTTTTATAGCGGTGATTGTTACGTTTTCCTTTGTCGTTATTGGATGGTACGTAACGAGCAGATGGATAATGGAAGGTCGTATCGTCTCAGTTCCATTTTTATTTCTTTCCTGTTTTCTGTTAGCCGTTGGATACCGCTGAAAACGAAGACGGCGAAGAGCAGTTTGAAGAAGATTACCAATGCACGGTGTACTTCTGGCAAGGAAGAGACGCAGGCAATATGGGGTGGTTGACATTTACCTTTAGGTATGAGAACAACAATGTTTTCGACCTCGTTTCTTTATTCTAAATAATTAATCATATTGATCTTGGTATGCTGTTTTCAGTCTACAGAAGAAATTTAAATCACTGTTCGGTGAAAATTTAGAAGTCGTTAGAACCCATCAGCAGCAGGAAAACTTAAAGTTCTTGTCGTATTTTAAAAGAAAATTTATCATTCATCATGGTAAGCGCAAACAGCCAAAGTCGTCTGATAGTAACAGAGTTGAGTTTTATCATTTGAGGAGTAATGGAAGTGCATTGTGTACTAGGCTGATACAAATACCAGCTGATTCGTCGTTACTGAATTCTTCCTTTTGGTGAGATCACTGAATAATAATAACTGACAATGATAATAATGGCAGCGAAAACGTACATTCTTTCATTAAAACATCTTACAACCAATATGTTAACGATTCTACGCTTTGTTGCAGTTATATCTTGAATGTGCCATTTAACAATGACGATAACACTGGAATAGTGTACGCCTGGATCGGTTCTAAAGCAGATTGCGATGAAGCACGTTTGATCCAAGAAATTGCCGAGGAAATGTTTAACAATGTATGTCACGACATGTATGGGGTATCTATGTTACAATATATAATTGACGATTTAACGTGAACCGGACGATAACATTTATATTGTCACTGTTTGTGCTGCAGCCATGGATAAGTCTTCAGGTTTTAAACGAAGGTGAAGAGCCGGATAATTTCTTCTGGGTGGCTCTCGGTGGAAAGAAACCTTATGACGTCGATGCAGAATACATGAATTACACCAGGTTGTTCAGATGCTCGAATGAGAAAGGATACTTTACTATCAGTGAAAAGTGCACTGATTTCTGTCAAGTATGCAACGAATCTGTTAATATTTCGTGCACGTATTTGGGTAATAAATTTCAGTAATTGATCAATCCAATCTTTCCAGGACGATTTAGCGGATGATGATATTATGATATTGGATAATGGTGAACAAGTATTCTTGTGGTTGGGAAGCAGATGTTCGGAAGTAGAAATCAAATTAGCTTATAAGTCCGCTCAGGTAAGGAAGAAAGACAACAACAGACACTTTGTAAAATAAGCCTAGTGTTAAACGCAAATTTTGTAAATTAATTTTAGGTGTATATTCAACATTTACGAGTGAAGCAACCGGACAGACCGCGCAAACTGTTTTTAACTGCGAAAGGAAAAGAGTCACGAAGATTTGCAAAATGTTTTCATGGTTGGAGTTTGCATAAAAAGCCGCTTCAATAAAATAGGTTTAATAAAAATGATTTTCGTTTTGATGTTATTTATGGTAAACAATGAGACCCAAGCTTGTACCAAAATTACCCAGGCTGTTATATATTTTTATAATGGATACAAAGATTACAATGCATATAGAGACAGCATTGAAATATTACCATTGATTCTACCGGAATGTTTATGTAAGGTGAACAAGATCAATATTCCACTTCTTCCTTTCTGTTTCCACCAACATATTTATTCGCTAAAACAGTATACAGATATTATTACAATTAATTAATATATACCAACAGTTTGTTGGGTGCAAGCTTATTTGCGCTCAAGGCTGTAAGTTTTCAATGCATTTTCTATATTTGTCATAGACTTGCAAAGTCTCTGCAGACATGTTTACAAGGTTTCACAATCTCTTCTATAAGAGATGCAATTCAAGCAAAGAGTGGTTTCAAAAGAAATGGTCAATCAATCAATTCAATTGCAGGCAAATGGGAGAATTGAATGTGTATTAACGTCACATGCCTCCCAAGCATAGCTACCCTCTAGGACTGTTCTATCCTGAGTCATGAAAAAATAAAAACGCATTTAATCATCGTCATCGTCGTCCGACGGTATGAAAAGTTCTTTCTCCTCGAGAACGTAGGCCACTAATTTACTCAATGTAACACCAATGATTAGACCGGTTCCAACACTGGAAATAACATTCACGTAACCGAAAGGTGTCCCTTTCGGTTCCGGAAGAATGGCACCCGACGGTGTCGTTATCCTCGACTGAAAATGCAATCTGCTTTCGGTCTCGATTCTCTTGTAAGTACCGATGTTACGAAATATAAAGGATGCGCGTTGCAACATTATTCCGTTTGGAAATTCTCACTGGTATGATGAATGCTAGAAATAGTTGCTACATATACATGGTGTAATAAAATATACATGCATACAAATACGTATTTTCTAACTACGTACGCTCGGAAATATATTTATGAACCGCTCGGCTGCAACCAAGAATACAGAAGTTCCGGACAATATCGGTAAAACGAAATTAGGTTAATCTCTCGTTCATTGCCTGCTGGTATCTGACTTAAGAAATTCCATGGTATTCAACGGTACAAATTATTTTATATGAATATACTTCATTTACCTTATATCTGGATTCGATAATATTCGAGAGTATCCATTACAACTTCTTTGACGGAGAATACATCACAGAAACTGCCGGAAACCCAACTGGCCCACTTCTGTCAGATTTACGGGAATATAGGAATTGCTGGTTTTAGTTCGTAATACGCATGCGGAGGGTCACGAAATTCGTCTACGTGTTTCTTAAAACCACAAAGTAGGTACTATATATAGTACTGCGTACCGCGCATGTTGTTGATAAGGATCTATGTTTCCATCTGATGATCTAACCTTTCTAGCTCTTAACCATAAGGTATTTGAGAGGTATAATTTCCAGGTATATGAGAACGAGTACGAAAACAACAAAGGACAATGTTGTACATAATTGGATTGGGACTTGGCGATGTAAAGGACGTAACTGTCAAGGGACTTGAGATCATACGAAAATGCGATCGCGTTTATTTAGAGTCCTATACATCAATTTTGTCCACCGGACTGGAAGAACTAGTAAGCATGAGAACAAGAATTGAAAATGTTATTTACAGTATAGTTTTTACAGTACAGTACGTACTTATTCGTGTGATCCAACAGGATACTAACAACAGTATGTTTCATCGCATTAGGAAAAATTTTATGGATGTTCGGTATTAGAGGCAGATAGAGAATTGGTCGAGAGTAATTCTGATGAGATACTACCGAGAGATGAGGAGGAAAATGTGGCATTTCTGGTAGTTGGTGACCCATTTGGAGCTACAACTCACACTGATCTGGTACTGCGAGCTCAAATGAAAGGTCTAAAGGTAACTGAAATTTGTTTCGATGTTTGTTTATGCAGCAAGATTGATAGCAATGTCATTCATGAATGATAAGTTATTCGTAAATATTGTCATTGTTTTGTAACTAGTTCCAGATTGTTCACAATGCATCCATATTAACTGCAATAGGTTGTTGTGGTCTTCAGTTGTATCGTTTTGGAGAAACCGTTTCTATTCCATACTGGAGTGATAATTCACAACCAGATAGTTTCTATGACAAGATTGTCTCCAATTTGCAAAGGAATCTACATACACTTTGCTTGTTAGATATCAAAGTGAAAGAACCTACTTTGGAAAGTTTAACAAAGAAGAAGAAGGTATACATGCCAACCAAATTTATGACCGTATCTGAAGCTGTTGATCAGCTAATGCAGATAATTAGGAAAAAAGAAGAAGAGAAAACAGAAGAAGAACCAGGTAAGAAATATAAGAAACAAGTTGTAAATGTAACATTAGCCACAGAATACATAAAAACACTTCATATTCTTTGCAGTACTCAAAGAATCCAGTCTGGTGGTAGGTCTGTCCCGTGTAGGCTGGGACGATCAAAGTCTCGTCGCTTGTTCCCTTGGAGAAATGTCTTCGGTGAATCTTGGACCACCGCTTCATTGTTTAATCATTACCGCGCCTGAATTGCATGCTCTCGAGGATGACTTTCTTAATGGCTACAGACTACAGGGTAATAAAAATGGTACGATGTATGAAATAAACACATGAATTAAAAAATGAATAGCCGTGAGATTCATTCTCCGCATTCATTCTCCTATGTCCTACGAATTTTGATTTTCCCTGGAAACACATAGGAGACGAGAGCAATTCTAAAGTCCTCGAAACGTGTAACGCGTTAACACGTTGAGTGCTACACGAGTTTGCTGAGAGAAATATAGAAAATAATGTAATATCAACTCATGTAATTGAATTATATTATTATTGCAGGTTTATCTTGTCGAATATCTGTTTAGGTGGTATTACTCATACAAAAGTTCTCAAATAATCATCGTTTAATGGAATGTATGACAGTAAATCGATTTGGTTGAGGTCACCGGTGACCCCGTGGCATCCAACGCGTTAAGTATTCCTCGCCCTCGTTTCAAACATAATTTTACTCGAACAATATCAAAATGAAATACTGTAAACCGAAGTAATCAAGTAAAAAGCGACGATTCTGTAAACCCTACACCGTGACTATACTGTATACGCAGAGGGAGAGGAGACTATAATGTTGTCGAGGCAACACGATCGATTAGGCGAAAAGGTTTCGCGTGTCCGCTTCAAGTTGTTTTCGTATTCGTCGTCACCGTCGTCCACGTCGTAAAGACTCCTTGGTTCGTGAACGTGTCCGTTAGTACTCGGAAAGCAAGCGAGACGTACAATCGCAAAGCGCAAACTTAGCAAGAGAAATGTTACATTACATAACAATAGGGTGAACCGAAATTGTACGTTATTGATTGATTTCGTCTACTTCCGTGCGTTAAGGAGGGTAAAGTGTGCAAAGTTCCTGCTGCCGTGATCTTGAACGCTTCCACTGTTCCCCTCGAAGGTAACTCATTCGACGTTCGACCTCTGAAGCCAAGGTTTCCTTAAACCACGTTCCTCAATTAATCTGCACACGTGAAACGTCGAAACAAATAGAAACACGCGAAGCAGTAACAAGATTTTCATAACATTCCCAAATTCAAAATGGTCAAATGGGGATTGACTCGTAGACAAATGAGAAAGTGATCGAATAGATGGACGCAGTCAAAACTCTTCGATCATTATGTGCGCCATGTTAACGGCGAACGATTGACAATAAAGGTACGTGTGTGTAGCTGTATATCTATACAACAGCAAGGACCGCAGGCTGATCATGGCTCTCTCGGAGAGAGGATTGACGATCGGTCCACGGGTGCCTCGAGGTTTAGCGTCCGCGGTCGAAGGTCTTGCCCGCGAAATTCTGAGGTACCGGCCTCAAGACGTTTACGCCTTCGCGGCGCATCACTTCGAGCACCTGGTCGAATTGAGGGAGCACAGCCGCGCCGTGGACGTTTCAAGGATCCTCGACCGCGCGTCGCGCAAAGAGAAGCACCGCATCCTCTTCGACTGGATCTGCCGCGACAAGTGCGACCCGGAGAACGAGCCGAGTCACGATCGCTATCGCCGTTCCGATCGCGAAGGCAACGATCCCATCAAGGAAGCCGCGCTCAAAGAGACGAGGGCACCGAGCGCGTCGAAGTTACTAGCGAGAAGGAGAAGAAGAAGGAGAAGCGAGGAAGAGACGACGAATAGAAGCGGCTGGTCCATCGGCGAGACCGTGAAGGTGTTCAAGAAGCACGAGAACGAGGCGAGGAAGAGGAAGTCGAGGAACGCGCAGAGCTTCGAGAAGTCCGTCGAGAAGGAGGTCCATCCCAGCCACCGCGAGCAACGATCGCCGCAGCTCTCGAAGACGATCGCGCACTACCGGTTCCTCCGGTCCCTGTCCGTCGGGGACGTGTACCTCGCGAAGAACATCAGCCGGTGTCTCGAGAAGAGTCACGAGGACACGAAGAGGAACAACGAGTGCAACAAGCCTCGCGAGAGCGCGCGAACGTTGAAGCGGCAGAGGAGCGCCGGTCAAATCGAGGACGCGCGCTCCTCGTCCAGGGTTCGCCAGGAGTGCGTGTACCACGCCGCGAGGAGGTCTCACTCCCTCGTGAACGTGATACTGAAAGGCAGAGGGCCCGCCGGGAAGGAAGAAGCGCGACGCGACCAGCTGACAGGGAACGAGGGCGACTCTTTCGAGACCCACCCCCGAAATCGTCAGTTTCGACGGGAGTCCTTCTCGAGGGGACTCGAGGCGAAGGAGAGGAAGAGGCTGGAGGAGGAGAAAGCGAGAGGAAGCACGGAGGCTGCCTCGAAGTTGAACTTCCGAGCGGAAAGTGACGAAGCGTCGAAGGACAACGGTAAAGCGGAGAGGATCGACGTCGACGGCGCGAAGCCCTCGGATAACCCAGAATCCGTGATTCTCCCGTCGGTGGTCACGAAGCAGAGTTCCAGTCGGTACCCGGAGGACACTGCCGAGCAAGAGGACCCCAACTACCTGGTTCTGCCGCCGATATCGAGCGACGCGTCGAAGACGGCCAAGAAGGACAACCTGTTGCCGTTGCCGCTGTTGTCGACGCTCACGGAAACGATCGAGACGAATCGGCAGTCTGCTGTCGCCTCCGATCGAAGAGGTTCGAGCGATGGAAGGAGGAGGCACTCGGAGCTGGAAGCATCCTCGGACAGCCAGGACTCGAAAGCGGAGAACGATCGGTCCGTTGAAATCGAACGTTCAAGCGAGTCTAATGAAACCGCCGACGCGAACGAATACGGACGCAAGGAAGAGGTTCCGAAATTCGAGGAGACAGAGCCCGACGCGTCTATTTTGGAGACCCGGATTCTTAAAGTAGAGGATGACGACGAGCAGTCGATGAAGATTGAGTATCCAAGCGATCATGACACTGCCAACGCGGACGAATGCAAGGAAGAGGTTCCGAATGGTTCCAAAGACGACGATGCCAACGCGGACTCAAGGGAGTTGTCACGGAAACCAACGGAACCGGACGATACGAGTGTACAGCAGTCGAGGAATGAGGGGAAAGCGGAAGAAAGCTACGCGGTAGCTAACGAACTGAAAAGCAAGTTGATCGAAATAGAAATGGTGGAGAAGAACATTGAAAATACGTTGACCTCCTCGGAGACGGTCCTGATAGCTGACGATGATCACGGATTAATAGCCTCGGCGTCGAGCTCGGGAAAATCGAGCGTTGCATCTGGGAACAATGTGATCGTCGCCGATGCAGCGTTGGAAGACGTGGACAGAGATTCGTTGGACAGCCCGATCGAAGACCGGAAACAGTTCAAAGATAGGGGACGAAATTCCGCGGACACCGGCGACACAAGGAGAACCCGACAAGTATCGAACGACGAAGACCCTTCCTGCTACGTGCTCACCGAGGGTTCTCCTTGCGAAATACCGGAGTCGGTGACCACTGTGATCATACCGGACAAAGAGGCGGACAGCGACGACGAGGTCCCCAGATTCGAGCCTGGAGCGGACTCGTTCGGCGAGTACGTCGCGTATCCAGCGGAAACGTTTGAATATTCGAGCGCTGGCATGGAGTTCCTGCGCGACATAGAGGACGCCGTCGACCGAACGATCTCGCGCAAGGATCTGGCCAATATCAAGGAAGAGGAGGAAACTGAGAAGGATGCGTCGGACAGCGCGATGAACGCGCGCGCACGTTCGATTGGCGTCGAACTGGAGTCGCTTGAACGGGACGAGGATGCTACCACTGAGACCACCGACCGCACCAGCAACCGAGAACCAAGAGAAGCGGCGTCCAATGAAGGCGAACACACGCTCCTGTCGGACATAACGGAACCGTGCGTGCCCGAGCTGAATCTGAGTTCGTTTCGGGATACATCCTCCGTCGACGATAGAAGCGATTCGATCAATTCTGAGGGTCGGTTGAAGGAGGATAAAGAGTTGGAGCAGAATGCTGTTCGCGAAACGGAGATAACTTTCTCCTCGATCGACAGTCTGTCCCGGAAGGAACATTCGTCGATTGTTGATGGAAATTCTTCGTTGAGAAGTAAGACTTCTGAGAATGAAGCTTCAATGGACCTCGGGGACCATTCTGTGGAGAACAACGAGGACAAATGTGTTCAGACGGTTGCCGACGATCAAAGTGGGAAAGATTCTAATGCGGAAGAGGAAATCGCGAGGGAGTTAATCGGAAAAGGTTCTCCTGATGTGGAGGATGAAATCGCGAGGGAGTTGATAGAAAAAGGTTCTCCTGATGTGGAGGAAGAAATTGCGAGGGAGTTAATGGGAAAAGATTCTCCTGATGTGGAGGAAGAAATCGCGAGAGAGTTAATAGGGAAAGATTCTCCTGATGTGGAGGAAGAAATTGCAAGAGAACTAATCGGGAAAGACTCTCCTAATGTAGAAGAAGAGATTGACAGAGAACTAATAAGAAAAGATTCTCCTGGCATAGAAGAGGAAATTGCAAGAGAGCTAATAAGAAAGGATTCTCTTGATGTAGAAGAAGAAATCTCACGAGAATTAATAGGAAAAAATTCTCCTAATGGAGAAGAAGAAATTGAGAGAGAAGTAATAGGAAAAAAATCTCCTAATGGAGAAGAAGAAATTGAGAGAGAAGCAATAAGAAAAGATTCTCCCGACGTAGAAGAAGAAATCTCACGAGAATTAATAGGAAAAAAATCTCCTAATGGAGAAGAAGAAATTGAGAGAGAAGCAATAAGAAAAGATTTTCCCGACGTAGAAGAAGAAATCTCACGAGAATTAATAGGAAAAAAATCTCCTAATGGAGAAGAAGAAATTGAGAGAGAAGCAATAAGAAAAGATTTTCCCGACGTAGAAGAAGAAATCTCACGGGAATTAATAGGAAAAAAATCTCCTAATGGAGAAGAAGAAATTGAGAGAGAAGCAATAAGAAAAGATTTTCCCGACGTAGAAGAAGAAATTTTACGAGAATTAATAGGAAAAAAATCTCCTAATGGAGAAGAAAAAATTGAGAGAGAAGTAATAAGAAAAGATTCTCCTGATATAGAAGAAGAAACCGCAAAAGAACTAATCGAGAAAGACTCTCCCCATGCAGAAGAAAAAATTAAGGGAGAGCTAATAAGAAACGGTTCTCCTGACGTAGAAGAAGAAATCTCACGAGAATTAATAGGAAAAAATTCTGCTAATGGAGAAGAAGAAATCGCGAAAGAGCTAATTAAGAAAGACTCTCCCAATGCAGAAGAAGAGATTACAATTGAGCTAATAAAAAAAGATTCTCCTGGTGTAGAAGAAGAAATCGCAAAAGAACTAATCGAGGAAGACTCTCCCAATGCAGAAGAAGAGATTACAATTGAGCGAATAAAAAAAGATTCTCTTGGTGTAGAAGAAGAAATCGCAAAAGAACTAATCGAGAAAGACTCTCCCAATGCAGAAGAAGAGATTACAAGAGAGCTGATAAGAAAAGATTCTCTTGATGTAGAAAAAGAGATCGCGAAAGAATTAACCGGTAAGGATTCTCCCGACGAAGAAGAAGAAATTGCAAGGGAGCTAATCAGAAAAGATTCGCTTGACGTAGAAGAAGAAATTGCGAGTGAGCTAATGAGAAAAGATTCCCTTGACGTAGACGAAGAAATCTCACGAGAATTAACAGGGAAAAGTTCTCCTAACGTAGAAGAAGAAATCGCAAAAGAACTAATAGGCAATCTGACCGATGAAATATCGATGCTTACAAGAACACAGGACACCACCGCGACTGCAGCCTCTTTCGATGCAGACGAATCATCGAATTTCTGCTCTACCAGTCAATTGAACGCTACTGTTTCGGATAAGCATGACATTCCTGCCACCGTAGCGATAGAACCCGGTGATATATCCATGGTGTCCACATTGAACGGAGAAAATTGTCAAGAAAACGTGAACGATAGTATTCGAGTGGATGCAGAAGACGAAACGGAAGATTCGAATTCGAATGACATCGAGAAAGCGACGATCGTATGTGAGAAATCCTCGGAGAACGATCAATCTAAAAAATCAAAGGAACCGTTCATCGAAACTCTCGACCAGCCTGAAAACTCGGAAAAACTATTAATCGACCTTGATCAACCGGAAGAATCAAAAGATCCAGTAACCGATTCAAGTTCACCGACTATAACGCTGGACACGGCTGCCAGAGTGATCCAGATCTGTAAGTGAATCTTTAAATCTCTAAACGCCTCGAGCCTTCGCAGCAGTGTACAGCAATGATTTACAATGATAAAATATTTGTTTCCAAAGGGGTGCGTAAATTCCTATCCAGGCGCCGAAAGAATTCTGACGAGCAAAACGGGCCAAGTACTCCAAACACGGCCACGATTCTAAGCGAAACGTCGCAATCGCCACGAGAAGACGCCAAACCGGTAAGAACGCGCGTACATCTTCTCAACCTTTCCATCTCACCGCTTTACCGTGTTTCTCTGCAGGGGAAAGGTGAAGGCTTCGTTATTTCGAACGACGAATTTAGCGATCCGCAAAAGTCCGAGGAATCCCGAGCATCCGAGGTATCTGGATCAGAGCAGAACGAAAAATGGCCGCCGATGGTAGCAACGGGGAACACGGACGACGAGCGGAGGCCAGGGGATCGATCGAGTACCGTTTACAGCTCCAGACACACCGGAGAATTTCACGACTCGCTGCCGTTGCCGATTTTGGAGCTTCCCAAAGACAAAATGTTGAGGTGCATGCGAGAATCCGCGAAACCCGTGCATACGCCGTTCTTCGATCCCGAGTCCCCTCAAGCGTGCGTCCTGTTGGCGTTCGGTTTTCCGAACAGCTTACTGGACGATGGCTCGAACTGGAAAGGCTACGTCGGGTTTCCGCCTTCTGCTTCTGATTTCAAACGAGAAGCAAACGGTACGCGTGCCAGTAATCCCACGGAGGAGCATTCCGATTCCGACGTCGATAGCATTCGGGAACCACTGGCTCTCGACGGGACATCGAAATCCATCCTCATAGAGGAGATCACAACCGCCGACGAGGAAGAACACGCGCCACAGGACAACGTTGAAGAGCGTACCAGTTCACCGGTTGACCTTGTTGATTCCGACAATCGAAAGAGCATTGAGGAAAAAGAGGGTCCTCCGGAAAATTCGGATGAGTCGAAGTCCACTCAACCTTTGTAATAACGAACGAGTACGAACGCGGGTACGCGTTCACCTGTATACGTAGACAACGGGTTAAGGACATTAGAGGTACTCAAATTTGCGTACCGAGTGCCAGCGTGTAAGGCAATTGAACGCCGTTCCTCGCAAATAACGCGCGAACGCTTCTTTTCCTCTTTCCACGCGGTGCTCGCTGATACGCGGGACACGGAGAACGAGTCTCGCCAAAAAAGGACAAAGCGTTCAATTCGATTCCGAAAGGAAAAGAGCGCGAACGAGATTGTTCGGAGCGAGGCTAGAGCCAGTGGAAAAGTATCAAGCAAAACGCATGCGCGGACGCGAGGAAGCAAACTAGGGGGTTACGTATTTTCGTTTCGGCGATGAGTAGTTACGCGATTATCGTGCAGTATCGGGCGGTAACGTGTTTGTGGACGTTCACGTTCGGACAAGACACTCTTACTGGTTTCACACAGCAGAAGTATTACGCTTCATTTTCTTGAGATCTCTGTGGAATAGAATATAATATTGTTCTCGGTCACTTTGCACCGAGTCGTATCGTTTCCGCTCGACTGGATAGGACGCCCGTACACTTCCAATGGCACGGGCGCACGCATACGTGCACACACAGAGGCGTACGCATAATATATGGAACTAATTGCTCGCGATAGCAAGAGCGAGACCGCTCTTACACCTCGCACACGTAACGTCGTTCCACCTTAGCTCCGCGTAAACAATTGCATCACGGACTGGCGATTGATCGGGAAAGCTTGAGAATGTGTCTCGTTCCCAGAGAATGAGACAACGGCCTGGGAGCCTATCGGTCGCGATTCGGCTGACGAAAAAAACGAGGAGGAACGCGACAGCCTGCACGATTCGTCATGCCGCAAGACAGTCATCGAGACACGACGGAAGCGAGTATGGCAGCGACGAAGATTCAAGCTAATTTCCGGGGTTACCGGGTTCGGAAGCGGTTCAAGGAGTCGCAGAAAGACGCCAACTCGCAGTCGCCTATGGATCAAGGACAACGGGACGAGTATCCGCGGGGAAAGGGGGAGTCCCCGGTCCCGGAGAAGGAAAATGTAGAGCGGGTGAGCTTGGAGGAGAAATCTGCGACGAAAATCCAGGCCGGAGTGCGCGGCTTCTTGGTCCGGAAGAGGCAGGAAGTGGCCCGGGTAGCCGCGACCAGGATCCAAGCCGGTTTCCGAGGTTTCAAGACCAGAAAGCTGCTGAAAGAAAGCGGACAATAAAGGTGGCCACCGTCTCCCCGCCTCGTTCCTCGTCTTTTATCGTTCTCCGTGCCATTTCAGAGTGTACGCGTTACACGCTCATTGTTCCGTCGAGACCACCGAACGTGAGACTGACAGGGTCCTATAGATCGTTTCCGTTCCGTACGTATCGTTCTCGGTGTAAACAAGCGAAGCCAACGGGACTCGGTAAAACGAAGGGAAATCCAGTGCGACGTTAGATAACCGAGTGACTATAATTATTCGAGAATGACCGCCTAACGTTTATTACGCAGGTCGGATACGCGTTCGAGAAATCGAACCGTTTCTCAGTGCTACCAGTGCCCTCGAACGTGCTGGCCTTTTATTCAGCCGTTTTACCCGCCACGTAAAAATCGTCGCACAGTTCGCTCGTTCTCTATCGTCTCGCTGTTATTCTAGCGGCTTACGCCGCCTCCGAACCGAACCAGTGATCTCCTCGCGGCGAATGGATCCATAATTATCGGGGGAATAATCAAAATAGCCTCGGTGGTCACCGACGACGACGTTTGGCAACGACATTGACACTGGTACACCGCGTTAGCGCGAAAATATTTCGTCGAGAGACCAGTTAATTTTTAACCGCAGCCCAGTACAGTCATGCACGAAACGTTTCGCCCGAAAATCTCGAGTGGCATCGGGCAACAGTGTTTCCTTTGGTATCCGTGTCCTCAATGAAAGTCTCTTGGAGGTATATCATATTACATTCAATCACACGCGCACATGTGCATATACGTATCTCCTCGTAACGTCTCCGCAACGGAATTATCGATTCGCGAAGATACATCGGTTTTTGTACCGCGTCGTGACGTTGCTTCCGAGGATCC